TCATGTCTGATATTGAGGTCTTTAATCCACTTTGATCTGACTTTTGTGCCTGGCATTAGATAGAGGTCAGAGTTCATTTTTTTACAGGTAGCTATCCAGTTTTCCCAGCACCACTTGTTGAAGAGGCTTTCCTTGTTCCACTTCACATTTCTTGCTCCTTTGTCAAAGATTAAGTGGTGATATATTTGGGGGTCTGTGACAGAATATTTAACTCTGGGAGAAGGCAGCTGGAATAGAGAAGGTTTCACTAAGAAAGTGACAGTTTGAGTAACCGTCGGGCTGGGAGATGTGTGCTGAAAGTAGATAAAAAAACAAACATGATAACCTCTCAGTGTCCGTATTGGGAACCATAATGCCCAAAAGTAGAGAGAGAGAGTATGGGGAATGTTGTCTGCCATGGAGGCAGGGGGAGGGTGGGAAAGGAAGGGGTATACTGGGGATATTGGTCGTGGAGAATGTGCACTAATGGAGGGATGGGTGTTTGATCATTGTGTGATTGTAACCCAAACATGAAAGCTTGTAACTATCTCATGGTGATTCAATTACAAAAATAAAAAAGAATCATTGGATGAAAAAAATAAGAATCATTGGGTGCCGTCCTGAAGATTCCTGAGCATCTTAAAGATGACCCACGTGATCCCTGCATGATAGGGCCCAAGCAGCATGGTGTCATAAGGCCTTCGCATCAATATTCAGCCTGGTTCCTTGAGAACAGATAAGCCTATGGACCTCCTGAGCACCATTTGGTAGGTCCCCTCTCCCTAAAGCAAAACAGAGCAGATTCTCCAAACTCCAGATGAATTTAGGATTGGATTCTTAAAGCAAAATAAAGACTTAAGTATTTGACATTAAGAAACAAGCATTCTTTCATTGTTTATCTTCTAATACCCTTGTTTACAGGTTTTCACTGTGACTTCGAATCTCTGGGACAGTCTACATATATTTAAATCAATTTTACTTTAAGATTAACAACATCGAATTTACACACATGCAATTAAATTTAAAGAAACAATATTTTTATATTTGTGTTTATCAACACTGTCAATTCTGGTGATGATTAAAACTTGAGTGCAGGAAACACATTTGGAGTTGATCAGTACACAGCTTATTTGGAAACACTGAGCACATGACGGCATGTCTTTTCCCTAGCACAGTTTGTATCATTTGTCACCTTTCATGCAGCATGACTGACTCTTGGCATTCGGGAGGCCCAGCTTGGTTCAGTGGCTTCTAATTACCATTTCCTCTTTGATTTTCGCGACTGGCTAACAGAACTGCCTTCACTTTGGTTCATTATAGCTCAATGCCCACACACAGCTGAAAGCAGCCTTGCTCTTTTACAAAACAAACAAATGATCTGGAAACGTTTTCCCCAATTATGCCATTTCAACAAGACTCCTGATGCCCTAAAATGGCTTAAAACAGAGGGGTTTAAGGGGGTACGGTATTTGCCTTGCATGTGGTCAACCCCAGTATGATTCCCAGCACCACACCTGGTGCCCTGAGCACTGCTAGTGGTCACTCCTCGTGGCACAGATAGACTCTTGGAATTGCTGGGTATGGTTGAAAAATCTCAAACAAAATTTTTAAGGGCCAAATTCAGAGGGTATATGCACCGCACTGTAGCACTTCCTCCCAATGTTCATCAATTTGCTCAAGTAGGCACCAGTAATGTCTCCATTGTGAGACTTGCTGTTACTGTTTTTGGCGTATCGGATATGTCATGGGTAGCTTGCTAGGCTCTGCCAGGTGGGCGGGATACTCTCGGTAGTTTGCGAGGCTCTCCGACGGGTGGAGGAATCAAATCCGGGTCGACTGCGTGCAAGGAAAACCCCCTTATATGAGTATATAGGGTATATGAGTACCTATTAAATGGTTTCCCAGGAGCATTAGAAGAAAATCAGCTTCTTTAGCACACAGTAGAAACACTGCCTTAGATTTCATTTAATAAAGATTCTAACTTGATACTGAAGGTTTAGATTTAACTCTAACTTCCCTATGTCCTTCCATGGTCTTGACATGAATAATTTAAATGAACCTGCCCCCATTTTTCTAGGTTGTAATTTTATTATTCATCCATATGCAAAATTTGTATCACTCTTACATCATTCAATAATGATAACATATTTAACCTTTCATTCTTGAGGGTAGAATCTATATCAAGAATTTCTTTTACTTTCATAAGCAAAATTCAAACCTAATGTTTAACCGGTTGGGTTTAACTATAAGGCAATATTAAGGTAAAGGTAAAGGTAAAGGTAAAGGCCCTCCCGTTGTTCATCGATTTGCTCGAGCGGGCCCAGTAACGTCTCCATTGGAGACTTTGTTGTTACTGTGTCTGGCATATCGAATACGTCACGGGTGGCTTGCCAGGCTCTGCTGTGTGGGCGAGATCCTCTCGGTAGCTTGCCGGGCTCTCCGAGAGGGGCGGAGGAATCGAACTCGGATCGGCCATGTTGGCTGCATGCAAGGCAAACGCCCTACTGCTGTGCTATAGCCTGGCAAGCTCCCCGTGACGTATTCGATATGCCAGACACAGTAACAACAAAGTCTCCAATGGAGACGTTACTGGGCCCGCTTGAGCAAATCGAAGGCAATATTAAATTATTTTAAATTCCAGGCAGTATTAGTATCCACCTCTAAAATTGCAAATGCTTTAAGAAACACAAACTTAATTTTTTTATTTGGGAGTGCCACACCTGGCGGTAGTTAGGGTTTACCCCTGGCTCTGCACTCAGGAATCACTCCTGGAGGGAATTAAGGGACCATTTGGGGTGTCGGGGATCAAACCCGGGTCTGCAGCATGCATTTTACCTGCTGTACTCCTGGCTCCGAACCCAAAGCTATGTTTTCACTTTACTATAATAACTACTAAAATTTCCATTTTACTCCCCAAAAGATGGTAGGAGAGATAGCTTGATGGGCCAGGCGTATGCTTTGCATGCAGGAGACCCAGATTTCATCCCCAGAACTAAAATGGTCTCTTGAGCACTGCTGAAAGCAATCCCCGTAAAAAGCCATGAGCAGCCCTGAGGACTTCCAGATGAGGCTCAATCCGCACTCCTCCAAAAAAGCTTTCCCAAAATAAATTGGGAATGTCAGTGAATACAATTCAATCAGTACTATATTAAAAATAAAACTTGGAACACTGTATGATAGAAACCCAATCATGAACAACTTCGCAACTCTTTGTCTCATGGTGATACAATAATAAAATAAAATAAAATAAAACTTGTTGTGGCTAGAAGGCATCTGTCTCACATGTGTGGACAGTCCAGGCTCGATCCCTACAGGGTCCCCAAGCACTAACTGGAGTAATCACCAACACAAAACCTAGAGCAGATGCTGACCACTGTCAGATTAGAAAGCACTGTTGCATTGTCCTCCCACTGTTCATTGACTTGCTCGAGTGGGCCCAGTAACATCTCCATTGTGAGACTTCTTGTTACTATGTTTGGCATATCGAATCGAATATGTCACGGATAGCTTGCCAGGCTTTGCCGAGTGGGTGAGATACTCTCGGTAGCTTGTCGGGCTCTTTGAGAGGGGCGGAGGAATCGAACTCGGGTTGGCTGCATTGGCCACATGCAAGGCAAACACCCTACCCACTGTGCTATCACCCCAGCCCAGATTAGAAAAGAATTGTCAAAAAAATGCAAAATATGAGATGACTTTCCCAAAGTTTCAAGTGTGATGGCTTAAGGATATATAATGTTTAATATTAACTTTCATAAGAGTATCATTAAAAACATATCAAAATGCACAATCTATTTAAAAACACATCAAAATGCACAATCTATTTTGCTCTTCCATGACAGCTTTTTGTTTACATTGTCATTTTTACCCTTCAACCTATCCAGATAAGGTCTGTTGACTGTTTGCTACACAAGCAGAAATGTAGTCACTGCAAGCCTTAAGTATTTCAGATTTAGTTCTATAATTTGATCTTTGAGTAGAAGATGTTATGCTTGTATTCCCATTTTTGCATATGGAATACTGAGACACTGTTAAATACATTTAAAGAATGAAAAATCACAGAAAAGATAAACCTATGTTCAATGATGAGCATTTTCTAGTTAGTAACATCAAGAGTTCTCCACATTGAAAAAATACTTATTTTATTGGCTCTTATTAATCTATAGTCATATTATTTTTTAATTTCAAAACATTTAGTTATGAATTCTTAAATTTACAATTTAACTTAACCAGAACTTTGCATATATATTTAAAAACCTGGTATAAAACAACCATGAAGAACCAGTGAAGAGCAACTTACCAGACATTACAACTCAAATTAACTGCATGTAGAATGGTGTTGGCACAGAAATCAATATAAGGATCAGACGTGAGTCCCAAAATAGCCTCAAATATATACAGAATCTCTGTTATCAGCAATGGTTAACATTTTAATATAATGAAAAATATTTTAAAGTAGATTTCTACCTTGTATCATGTAAACAACTTAGAGTAGAGTAAGATTTTAATGCTTTAAAAAATTGAGAAGGAAATTTTTGAATGGCCATGAATTGGAAAAGACCACCTGAGCGAAGCAGATAACTCAGACACTATGAAGGAAGAGACAGACATATTTGATTAAATAACAAAAAATTTTTCATTTGGCAAAAGATATCATATGCAACAAAAATTATAGAGATACATTTTCACACATGAAACAAAGGATTAACATTTCTAAAACAAAATATCTCTTATAAATTATGAATGAAAATCACTTCCAAATAGTAAAATAAGTCATGGAACTGAAATGAAGGAAAGAAAAACTAAAAAAAAGAAAACAACATAAAAAACATGGTGAACGTTAGTGATTGTAAAGAAAATGCACTTCATAATCAGAGATAATAAGACTGACCAGAATTAAAAACAGCAGTATCATTCAATGCTCGTGAGAATGTAGGAAATGGGCATTCTGATGTTCAGAGATGATGTACTATTCCTTTGGGGAAAATAAACTAACAATATCTATTAAAATTAAAATCACATACCGTTTGACCAAGCAATTCCACTTCTGGGAATCTATCCTATAGAAAAAACAAAAAGGACCAGCATGTAAGGTCAGAGGTACAAAGATGTTTATTGCAGCACTGTTTGTGGTGGGACATGCCCGTTAAGGGGGAAATGACTAAATGATATGTGATCTATACAATGTTTTCAAAGTGGACAACACAGTGGCCTGCGTTGGTTGCTGTGGGGTACTGAAAAGATGCAGGAATAAGTAGTAGCCACAGTACCATGTGGAGGAGGGTATTTTCTATTTGCTTGCTTCATTTCCAGGTTGAGACTGAGTGACTTCCTTTTTTCCTGGAAAGGGGGTGGTAGGTCAAATGAATTTGGAAACCTCTGATCTAATGCATAGATTTTTTTATATTCTCATAACGAATGGGGTAAATACAAAGATATTGAATTGAAGGATTGATAGGACAAGAAATGCAAATAGAAAAAGCGCATGCTATAGTCCCATTCTTTTGACAACAGCAACAAATGCAACAAAATATGCACATGAAAGAAGGAATGGAAGTACACAGAGCAGGCTAACAAAGGCTGGGGTTCTGGATAAGGTCAGGGATAGGAAGGGATAGGATAATTTTTAGTCTAGATATATTTTGTGCTATTTGGCTAGTTACCATGACAACCAAATAAAAATTTTCAAAAGCATTATAAAAATTTATTAATGGTAATACAGTTGACACATTTACCTTCAATGTATATCAGAAAAACAAAAACAGGCATTTCATACTTTTCTTGTGTCATTCACCAATGTTCATTTTGATTTGCTTCCAAATAGCCACTGACTCTTCTCCATTTGTGTACTGCTACGATACACATTTAGGGGTTGGGGAGAATTGACTCCAGTCCATTTCCAGGATGTCTTAACTGATGTAAACCAATTCTGTTCACCAGCAGTACAATTTGCAGTCACTTACATCATTCAAACTTTTCTAATTGCCACATTAAAACTTTTAAAAGAAATTTGTAGAAATAATTTTCATAATATACTTTACCTAACCTAATACAATTAAAAATATAGAATATACAATTAACTTAGCCTTTATTAGTGAGATAGATATTTCACATTTTTTTAAAAATAAAGTCAAATTTCACCAGTCTCAGTTTGGCAACATTTCAAAAGCTGAATAGCCAAATGGGGTCACTATACTGAAGAAGTCAAGTATCAGCTCATGACACGCATGCTATAAATATTACCACATTCAAGGCTAGATATGTAATTCCTTTCTTAAAATAAAAATCATTTTATTATTATAGATTATCCCACGTGTTTACAATAGTATTAACATTAATGGTTTTGAAGTGCAGAGTCACTGCTCCTTCACAAACACCAATATGCCCAAGATACTCCACCCCTGTCCTTATGTCACTTCTAGTCTCCATCTTCTCCCTACCTCTCCCCTACCTGTTTGGTAATCTCAGTTCTGTAATCCAAGCCCAAGGATTTGTCATCAATTGATACTATCTATTTCTTTGTTTCTCTATATTCCTGGATAAATGAGATCATCTGGTAGTTTCCCTTCTTCCTCTGACTTCACCCTCTAGTTTCATCCAAGTTGCAGCAAACTGGAAGATTTTATCTTTTCTTATAACTGCATAGCACTGCATTGGTGGACACATAACATGAGATGGCCCAATCGGACCAGGAAAGATTCAGTGATAGATGCAGTTTTCACATGTAGGAAGCCCTGGGGTTGGGCTCTGGAAACATATTCCACAAAAGGGAAACCCATAATAATGGGAAAAGAACAAGTTTCTCACGAGAATACATAAGGAAAACAAAACCCTGGAAACGGAAACTGCTGCTGGCAGCCTCCTGCAAGCTAATAGGATGAAGGGGAAACAGCCTCACAACTTTGAAACTCTGGATCAGCTCCGGTAAAAACCCTGGGCTTTTGACCCAGGTGAAATACAACAATCTTCACACACTTTTCACTAAGGAAATATTTTTGGAGACTTTTCAGCAGTTAATTAATAACATAGAGTCACTGTCACCATCACTGCCCTCTCATTGTTAATGGAGCGGGCACCAGTAATGAAGAGTACAAAATAAATTTTTTTGGTTCTGCTTTGGGGCAGGGGTTGGGGTTCAGGATGAAAACATCCAAAAAATAAAGGTAAAGTTAAGGTAAAGACCCTCCCGTTGATCGTCGATTTGCTCGAGCGGGCCCAGTAACGTCTCCATTGGAGACTTTGTTGTTACTGTGTTTGGCATATCGAATACTCTCGGTAGCTTGCCGGGTGGGAATGAGTAATGGTTGTGGGATTGGTGTTCAAATATTAAATGTAGTCAAATATTGTGAACTACTTTATAAAAATAACATTAAATTTAAAAAAAGCCTGAGCTTTTTAGCAACATAAGCAGATCAATTTCCTTTATTTTCTAGTCACTCTGAGTTAGCATTATAATGACTTGTAATCAGAGGTACCCTGATTGATCACCTCATCTTTGGGTAGGACCATTTTCAAATAAATGATCACTTTATTTCTGTAAATTAATGTGAATGTTGAGACTTTCCTCTATCGTTTGTAATCAAGACATTGACTTGTTAGTATAGATTTATCGATAATATGTTTTGGCATCTTCTGGAAATATGCCCAAAGATGATTTTCCCAACTAGCTCATGATAATCTACAGTAACTTTCCACAGTCACCACACAAGTGATTACTATCCCTTGAGATGATACATACATGATACATACATCAGAGCAATCAATGAGCTTTACTCCAGTTCATCCTCTTTCTTGGTCTCCCATATCAGATCAGGGTCCCTGAGCATCACCACGACAGACATCATGAGCAAACTCTTTACTGAGCATTGGGGTGCTTTCCTGAATACTGTAAGGCATTTAACAAGGTTTCTGGTGTGACAAATAGATATGACCATCAAAAATGTCACTGTTGTAAAACATCGCCTTTTGATTTAGAGTCACTATCCCAGACAATAATCAGTTCAAATGTACAACTCATTTCCAATGCGTCAGAGGCCTCAGTTATCGAGGCTCAGTAAAGCATGGTGCCACAGTGAGTGCAGCTCAATCTTTCCAGACCCTACGGTCCTCCCCTCTACTTCATGTGATCCCACAAGGTTCTAGAAGCAAATCTTTCCCACTCGCTTTCTTCCTTTCTTTGCTCCCAAACTATATTGGGCCTTAGTCCTCCACTGAGCACTTCTTTCAGAAGAAATGTGGTGACTTTCCTTTGATGTCTGCTCGAAATCAGTGCGATGCTACTCCCAGAACCACCCAAACATTCCTCTGGATTGTGGGGTGATTTTTTTTTCTGAGGAAAGTGTATGCTCATTTACAGCCACTCATTCCTTAGCTCAGTTTCCCTGGGCTTGGCCACTGCTCTCCATGAAAAGATCCTGGGAGGAAATTTCATTAAGGTCTCTCCATACGCTATCAACTCATTCATTATTCTCACTAAGTCATCTATAGGGCCAGAGTTTTCTTCTAGGCAATGGATAATTCTGTAAGGTATTCAAACTGATGTACAGAGTGATGCAATTTCAGTAAAAATATTGATTTTTTTTCAGAAACCAATTACCTGACTTCAAAATTACTTGGAATAAGCAAAACAACTTTGAAAAAAGAATTAAACAAAGATAGAGAACTCTCATTATCTAATATCAAGACGTATTATAAAGCTACCATCATCAAGAGAATGTGGCTCTGATAGGACAGATAGATAAATGAGGCAAAATAAAAAGCAGATAAATAAGATACACACATATGGAAAACTCACTTTAAACAAAAGCACAAAGCACGTCAGTGGAAAAAGAATAATTCATTTAACTGATAGTGGTAAAACTTTTAGATGCCTATCTGCAAAAAAAAAAGTAAATTGATTATACTTCACCCCATATAAAAATTAACTCAAAATGCAAAGTCTAAAGCCATGACTCTTCCAGGAAAAAAATGAATAGCTTTGTGATCAGGGTCAAGGAAATGGCACAAAAGTCCCGAGCACTGTATGTTTCCTTGAGTACCATCATGTAGGAACCATTCCATTTGTTTGGTTTTTTAAACCTTGGTGATCAGGGTGGAAAGAGAGTACAAGGGTTAAGATGCTTGCACACATAGCGGGTATGGTGCTGCCAGCAGGTCAATCTGTACCTGTGAGGCGAGTGCATCAGCAGCCTGATGGCGCCTCCAGGCTTCCAGATACCCCAAAATTGCTGTTGTGCCTTTGGCCAGACCCCAATAACTTGGGGAAAAGTTTACCAAGAAAGTAAACAGCCAAAAGTTAGGTATGTGGGAGACACACCCACAAACTACCTCTGGCTCAGCTATATAATTGGAGGCATGGCCTCTCTTGTTCCTGATCAAACTGCTTAACGGCCATGATCCCAGAGACTCAGAAACAAATCTCAAAACCCAACAGCTTCTCGCAGAAATATGTCCAGTCCCTGCAATAGGTTACCAGCGCCGGGCCACCCCAGGTGGGAATAGGTTTCATGCCTTAGCCTGTTCCCCCTGGTGGCCTGGTGGCCACCATCCTCCAGAGGCCACTGGACAGTCGGGTTTGGGCCCTCAGTGATGAGACACGTGGGGCCTCACGGGATGGGGGGTAGAGCTGGCCCTTACCTCCCTGTCCCAATGAGATCTTGAGTCACTGCCTATGAACGGCCTCCCTGGCTCCTGATTAACACTCCTGATCCCAGAGACTCAGAAACAAATCTCTAAACCCAGTGGCTTTGGGCAGAAATGCATCCAGACCCCGCAGTAGGGTACTGTCGCCAGGCCACCCCAGGGGGAAAAGGGTGCTGTCCCTCCGCCTGCTCCTCCTTGGCGGCTAGGTGGCTGCCATCCGCCAAAGGCCATTGGACAGTCAGGTTTGGGCCCGTAGTGACGAGACATGTGGAGCCTCAAGGAATGGGGGTGGAGCAGGCCCTTTCCTCCCGTTCCAAAGAGACCCTGAGTTGCTGCCCACGAATGGCCTCTCTGACTCCTGATCAAGCTGCTAAATGGCCATGATCCCAGAGACTCAGGAGCAAATCTCAGAACCCAG